GACTTGTAAAGAGAAAAGAAAAGAAAATAGTGGAAAAAGAATGGACAATGGTGGTGACGGGTGAAAAGGTTTCAAAAGCCTTTTTACCTTGTGATTTAACCACATGAAAGTAAAAGGAAAATGATAAAATAATCAAACTTTGGGCAATCCGCCCATGATGGAAGAAATGAAAGGAAATGTTGCCATTTCCTTGGGCAATCCGCCAATAATAAAGAGAAATGGGATGAAGGCTCATTTTACCCTTCTTTTGTCCACCACCCGAGGGGGAGATAGGAAAGAGAAGAAAAGCAACATGCAAGGAAAGGCTCGATTTTTAGAAGAAAAATGTGAAGAAAACATGTGAGTTCCATGAGAGATCTGCCCATTTGGAAGAGAGATGGTAGGAAAATAGCCTTGTGAGGCTTCCATTCTAGAGGAGAGAAAGAGTTGAGTGAAAAGGGCTTGGAGGAGGCTCAGTTATGTGAAAGTTGGGAGAAAAATTGAAAAGTTTTCTCTTGCATGCCATGGTTGGAGCGTTAGGAAGGCATGGGAGGTTCGGCCTAGTGATGCCAAGTTAAGGAAGGTGAGTAGAACCTTGATTTTGGTTATGATTTCTTGAGGAAATGAGTTGGTAATTGTGTGAGAATGTTTGTGGCAGCAAAGGTCCTCCAATATTTGAAAGAAATAGATGGATGCATGTGGATCAATCTTGGAATGCATAGTGATTTTGAGATAGTTAAGTAATGGGTGAGTATTTTAGTCTTGAAATCACAATTAAACAAGAGAAATGAGATGTGTGCTAATTGTTTATGTTTGTGGCAGCAATGATGACCATGGATGGGAGGAAATTGTAAATCATATGTAGACTCAAGCTAAAACCGAGAGGTGAATGTGTCCAAATTGTGTTGTGTTGGTTATGAACAGTTGATAATATGTGAAATGTTTGTTACAATGCTTGTGGTTGAGGTTGATGAAAAATATGAAATTTGGTTAAGGAATCATTAATCAAGCTACTGCCTATACATGTGTATGATTAAGCATATTGAGTTTAATTTATTGCTAGGGACTGTTTATCGTAGTGGCGTGCTAGAGGAGGTAACGGGTCACCGACAAGTAGAATTAGCTAGATACGCACTTGAGTCAATAACGACGTAGCGTCCCATTATTGTAAGGTGAGGAAGAGGTGTCGATTTTAAAATCTTCGTATTATATACTGTTTGACGTTAATAAACGTGGTTGGCTTTTCTTAAGAGCATTTGTGGATAGCATGAGCTGTTGGCCTTGATAAGCGATTTTTAAGACGGATTTACAATGATTTATATATTGCTATTGTGGAAAGCATGAGCTCGTAGAAACTATAGGAAATTGTGAGTGCAAGTGTTTTTAAAGTGATTTGATCTGTCTATAGATAAGCTATATATGTAAAAAGTTTTAGAAACTGGGAAACAAGCCT